GGTTTCGGAGTCCAATAGAATAACTGCTAAGTAGATTTATTTTTTATATACTTCGATATCCTCACGCTTTAAAATAAGTATTTGCACTCTTAACCAGATTCCTATTTGAGTTCCATGGTGGTTATCTGAATCTGCGAGACTTTTTGAAACAATATAGAAAAGATTGATTTCTCACTTGTCTTTCCACATTAGAAAGACTGGAGATGAACCATTGGTAAAAGTGTAAGTGTGAGTGGTGTCATTCTTAAGTTCTTGGTGTCTGAAACAAGTTTTGGGTATAAGATTGTTATCGAAAAACCATATTCCGAAAACAATATTTCGAAGTACGACAGAATTATATTCTTAGGATCACGTTTCTGTGGTAAGAATCTCAAGTCATCTATTGTAAGAACTTGACTATAATCAAGCTGAACAATTAGTTCTAATATACTATGTAGTTGACTAAAACAGTGTAACTATTTAATTTAAATAGCATTACATCGGCTCTACACTATACAAAGGTTCCCTAGTCTACCTCACCTTCGTATGATAGCCATGCTTTATTGTTTCTTTGGTATAGCTAGAACAGTCTTATCAGGGTTTATTTAAATGAAAATGGAAAGAAGAATCGACAGACAAGGTCATTTATGCTATTGCATGTGCCAATCTCACACAAATAATTCGGCATTGAGGATTGTTAATATTATTGATTTGTAATAAACAACTTAGTGCCCTGTAGCTATTCTCAAGTAGGAATATATTCGGTGTTGCAGTTAGTTCGGGCCGGGTTGTGTAGTTTCCAAGTCTTCATAGCAATTCGCTAAAAGGATATGTAGTATTAGTAACTTCTGTTGATGCAATCAAGTGGAAACCGGATTTTCACAGTTCCACAAACCACTGGGCTTACTGTAGCCAACATTAGCTTCCTAACTTCTGGGAACTAAATTATTCTTGCTATTTTAAGAACTAGTGATATATTATTAACATTAAATTGTCCGATTCTACGTCGAAAAGGCCAAAATATTTCAGATCTTTTGTTTATGTATGCACTTACATCCCTGTCGTTATTCATCATGTAGTCACACAAGACCATTAAACACAAAACAACACTACGATTTTAATAAACAATCAGACTTAACAGAAGTATCAGCTTTACCACTTTTCCCAGTATCTTTTCGGGTTTAGATCTAATTGGTTCCGTAGGTATTATATTTTAGGTTGCACTTTCGATGTACTTGGAGAATAGTAACTCAGCTTCACAAAAAAATCAAAGTCCATGACCCTTAAATCCCTGAGCTATGCTCATGAAAACTTAACTTATATCTCGGTTTCTTTAAGCATACCTATACAGTCAACACATAGTTTTTATTCTCAGTATCTGTTGACATTTTACTGCGAACGAAAATCCATTCTATTCTGGCAGATTATTCTGCCATTATAAGGACTTAAGAATCCTCAGTCAATGCTGGAATTTTTCGATGCATTTCAAAGAGTGAATTTAAAAATTAATTTCTAGCGATCATGTATCTTAATACATCGTAAATCTTGATTCGTTTTACTGCACAACTTTTGAATCAACAATCACTTGAAGTTTAGAACACTAAATAGAATGAAGACTAGGCCCTAGTTTGTTCATAATGTTTAGGCTGTTAACCTTAATCACAAAAATGTTATTGATACCGGCAAAGTTTTCTAACCAAGTTCATCAGAATTAAAAGTCACCTACAAAATATGTGCACTCATTCTAATTCAGTTTATGAGAACACATCATTCTTAATATCGAAGCAATAAAAATCAGAACAAACCAAAAAAATTTGGCCATTAGGTGTTCAGACAAATTTTAGCCTTCGTAAGCTAATATTTATTCCTAAACCCATAGCGGTTGACAGGTGACCGAAATATTAGAGAAGTGAAGTGTGTAGCATTCTCATGTGAAACAAAATCACTAAGTTTCATAACATCAGACCAAGATTATTTTGATAGACAAAGAATTCATAATCGTTGTTATCCTAGATCATTCTAAATTTCGTCGGTCATTGGATGCAGTGTTCTTACAATGGAAAATGAACACGTAATCACCATTTTGTATCCTACCACCTATAACCAGTCTAATGATATTGTTTTCCAAGGTCATACGGATTCAGTAACAAGCTTAAGTTACAACGACCAACTTGAACATGTCGTCTCAGTGAGTTGCGACCAAACACTGCGCGTATGGTCTCTCAAAACGAGGGAACAAATAGGTATCACATCAAAACATGCTACACAACTCAACAGCGTAAATATAGACAGTAATGGGTTAAAGTAAGATTATGTTTATGTTAATTAATCTACTACAGTATTATATCAAGTGGGATGGATTTTAGAACCTGTTTGTTTGATTATGAAACTTTAAAACTCAAGGTAAAAGTAGATTTTTTACTACGTAACCCAGTTTGTCCTACTGAACGGAGGTGCAGTTACTGATCATTCAATTACCAAGGATGGTAATCGTTTGGTATGTGTTACTGATATCAGCTGCCAAATGAACTTATGGATTTAAGATGGCGAAAGAAAGTTTTTTCGATTCCAGGTGAAATCATTCATATCTGATAAGATTAATTTGGCTTTAAGATATTCACGGAAATACACCAACATGTTGTCTGTTTACTCCGAATGAAAATTGTGTAGTTACAACATCAACAGATGGATCCGCAAAATGCACAGACTTGCGATCTCTCAAAACATTACTGACCTTGCGGTTTGATTTGTGGAATTTACAAAATAAATTATTCTTAGTGATCATAGGAATGCTGTATCATCGGCAGCCATCGCTAGAGACGGAAAGTTGCTGGTAACAACATCATGGGACAAAGCGGTTCATCTATACGACATTGAGACTGGAAACTACAGAAGAGAGGGACCACAGATTTTAGCTGATGGTCACACTGGTTCTATAAGTAGCTGTGACATAGACGATAATGGTGAGGACCAAGTTTCACTCCTAATATTACTTAGGGATCTATCTGGCGACTGGAGGTCACGACAAGTGTGTTATATTATGGGATACTGAGAAAAAAGAAGTCAAGCTGTGTCTCAAGGTATTACCATGTACTATTTATAGAATATTTTAAACAGAGACATACAGATTGGATTAATGACGTACACATGACGAAAGATGGGAAGTGGATTCTAACAGCATCAAAAGTAGATCCTATTATCAATACCAACGTTTTAGGACAGACTGATAAGGTCGTGGAATATGGAAGTGATTGAGAGGTTGCCATTTAGTTACTTACCTGGCAATGAACAAACTGTTCTTACTTTAAAGGTGAGTATAGTAAGATTACAATTGTAACGAAGGTGTGTCATTTTTATTAATAGGTGGACTTTTTCGGAAGTAATTTGACTGATACATTTTTACTACACGATGTCTCAGAAAATGAGTTCTCATATTCAATATCATGACATACATATTGTGTACACATGTCCCAATTTACGGACGAAGAAATTACAAAGTGAATGACTGACGCTGGGCAGGATAAGTGAACATAGATCACATTTTCAAAAGTCGAAAAATCAAATGTACATCGATAGGGTGCGAAGACCTGTGACAGACTCACCATATCTATCAAAAACCATTGTGCTTGAATGAAAAACGTCAGTAAATTTGTCTAGGATGTTACCACAGAACTAAAAACTCATATAAATCGAAAACTGACAGTTGAGCCACACGGGTTTTGACTGCAGACCTTAGTTTCGTTGTCTTTAGTGCATTCTGGTTGATATGAAGGATAGTACCCAACAAGGGAAAGTCAGGATAAAAATATCACAAAGAAACCCCTCAATACCAAGTAATTGCAGTGCGAACGGAACAGACGTTCCGCAAAAGCTTAGTTCTTAGGAAGTCATTCTAAATGAATGAATAGCATTACTGTCCTCCAGATCTAACGTGGTTCTCGAAGTTATAATAACGGGGATTCAGAAAAGGTCGAGTCACCATTACGGTGTGCAAACGCTACAAATTCAAGTTGTGACAACATCTACGATCCTTCCCGTCCCGACCGAACTTCTCAACCGCATGTATTAAGAATCAATAACCACCACTTAGTATTGCCTCTTACGTCTGATTAAGAGGAAAGTTCGAGAAATGAACAATTGACCTCCAGGATGGTTTCCTTTTAACACCTCTTACAGAAACAGACAGCAACAAATTCCTAAGTTTTGGCATAAAGACTTTCTGAGGAAATACACCAATTCAACATTGGGCTTAACAGATAAATTACTGGTTAGCGCAGTTTGTTCACAAGACCATCTGACGTCATCGAATTATCTGAAATTGTGACCCAAACAAAACAATTAATAGGGTTTCCGGAAAAAACCAGAAACATTTGGCGACAAGTAAATGTATGATTCGCATATATTTTTACTATACAGTGAAATAGGTATCGAAAAACGGCTAACATTGCACATTTGGTTCGAGTTTTTGTAAGGGAATAAAATTGGGATGACAGATTATTACATTTAGGAATAAAACCATATTAAATCGAGACGAAAGCTACTATGAATTATTTGACCACTAAAGCAAGTTACTTCCTGATATACAATTAATGCACACATGACTGGTGAGATGGATAATAAACTAGTGACAGGTGGTATGAATCCGAATTGTTTATTAGTTATCGCAAACCAAACGACAAAGTATCAACATATAAGGGTATCCTTCCTATATCAGAACCATTTTATAACGGTGCGGATGATGCAGTGCGAACTAGTTTTAACCGTGAGGACTTAAATAATTAAAAAAAACTAAGTCATAACATTTCTTCATTTCAGTGCCCTAACTGTGAAAAAAACTTTATCCAGACAGTAACAAGTGACTGGAGAAGGAGACCCAAGTGCTTATTTTGTGACCTCGATGCAAAGACAAACAATTAAAAGATATGCGACTGTTTAAGACGATATCAGCGCAATGAAAAGTCAACGAAAAAATAACAATAAAAGATTTAATGTCTAAGTATTTTTTATATTTGTTTTTTTTTCAAATCTTAGAAAGCAAACAGTCAAATAATATATGTACAAAAATTTACGAGCCCACACTGAGTAAAAACGTTTAAAAAGCACGGATCGGGCTTTCGATATGTGTGTATTTGCAATCAGGGAAAAGTGGTCCACCAATTTAAAGTACCAAAAACCACTTAGACTAGATGGGTAGTTATGTTCGGTACACAAACAAGTGACTGAATTATTGTCGAAATACCAGACCGAGCTGAACGTAATCCAGTTCCGAACAGCGGAAATCCATACTATTGACGAGTTAAATAAATGCTTCATGGTATCTGCATCATTGTTGAACCAAAGGAAACTTGGATACATCAAAATTAGTCACACTTTGAAAGAAGCAAGTAGAACAGGTCAGTTTATCTCATAGAAAGGCACCATAAATAAAGATTTATCAACGGGATCAAATGTATCACCAAGGCTCGGGCATTGTAGTTAGTTCACTCAACTCCTGATCGGAACAAGAAGGGAAGAAATGACGCTTGTAACCAATCATATCAACCCAAGGGAGTATATGTAAATACTGGTCATCTAGGATGATTGAGTGTAAATTTGTAGGAGAAATACAAGCATATTCAGTTTCTGTACCTACTGTACACTTTTTGGGAGAGTTATATTCTGAAATTCCCATAGAACTGTTATCACAGACAGTTACATAACTGCGATCAAGGCTATGCCAGTCAATGTTTTCCGGCAAACACGGTAGGTCAGGCCAATCATTCATAAAATTAGTCACAGGGGGGAAAACCGTTTTGTTTTTACGATGGCTTTTTAGTTGGTTGGAATGTAGTCTGGAAGGACCTAATATTTCAGCTTCATCCTTGTGATGTTTATGCTTCTTCTTCTTTTTAACTTTCTGGGCGATTGACGCAGTGTTGTTCTCAACATCTTTGAATAATAGTCGATTGGATATATTTTCACTATTATAGCTTATAGGACTTTGATTATTGATAGATGAAACGTTCACAAAAGGTATAACACTTTTAACCGAATCAGAAGTTAGGTTGTGATCTTTTTCGTATACAGCAGGACTTTCTCTACACTCCAAGGGTATTTCCGACTTTAAATCTAAAATTGTGTTACATTTAGGAGAATGAGAAGTTTCATTATTATTGGCAGAGACACAGCGTGAACTTGACTGAGAGCCAGAGTTTGCACGAGCCAGACGTGTTTTTGTGGGTTGCATTATTGAACATACTCGAGGAGGGTCGACTTCTTTGCTGATTCTGTTTGTAAGAATGCGGTCAGCAGTTACGGAATCAATACAATCTCCTGCAGCTTGGACCAGTTCTGCAGTTGATTTCACTTTCGTCAAACGCATGGAATTCGCTACTCGGAGCTTCGATGAAGGAGATCGAGATGCTGTTGAAATAATTGTTTGAGGTACTGAAGTATCTAAATTTTCTCTAAACCCGGTATTCTGAGGTTGTGATTCCATACATTTACTACCATTCACAAGGTTACTCGGACTTTGGACCTGAACGACTGTTGATGTTGTGTCTACGCACTTCAGACGTTTAGAAATATTTGAAACATAATTATCGTTTTGGTGTGTTAGATGAACAGCAGATTTTTGTGAATCATCTTTGTTGAGTTTTTCTGAGGGAGAATCGGGGAAATTTCTCTTTGTGAGATGTACGGAGCTTTTCATCTGAGGAGGGTATATTGCATTTACAGCGTCTGCTGGTTGTCTGGATCTTTCACGAGCAGATATTTTAATTGGTGTGCCATTCGACCTAGGTGACGTAGGTATATTTTTGTCCGAAGTCTTCAAAGGAATGACATACTGATGTGAATATTCAGAGGATAGCAGCTTTTGCCATGCTTTGATAATAAGTCGAATGCGTTTTTGAAGAGGTGGATCAACCTTGTGACGAATGGTTTGTAACAATTGACCAATCCTAGTATCCTGTAACTGAATCATAGTCATCGGGAAGTTCTCCAAATGACCGATGACGTCACACACTGCATTCAAATCTGTTACCTACAAAGTAGAATGAATAAGAAGTTCTCAAATTTAAGAAAGCACATTTTCAAATGAAATAACAGATGGATATTTTTTATTTGAATAGGCACTTGAATTGTAGCTATAATTTCGAATGAAATAGTCAGGCAGCGCAGAACCTGGAACATACTGCATCACCCTAAGTTTCCATATCACAACAGCACAGTGAGACGAAATTAATATAGTAGAAGTATGAGCTGGAGTAAAAGACATGATAAAAAGAAAATGGTTTGGGAAAAAACGGATCTACAAGAAAAAAAGAATCAAATAATTTGAAACTTAAAATCAACTGACTGCACATTTAATGACTTCATGGTCATGTGGTAAGTGAAACTGGAGGAACTATGTTACGGCCTAATCTAATGCTTAACTCTAGTTGATGTGCACAGAAAGTTTACAAACGACAATTCTAAACAAATGACTTTTTGACTAAGGAATTGACGACGTTGTTTACAAAGGTTTGGGAACTAGAGTGTGTACCAACGTCATGGAATGAGTCGATAGTTGTCCCTATCTTTAAAAAGGGTTCACGTCGTTCTGTAACAACTATCGGGGGATAAGTTTACTTCCGATTGCGTCCAAGCTATTGGCTTCCGTCATTCTTCGTAGGTTGTTCAAAACCCGAGAAAGATTGACTCGCGAGGAGCAGGCTGGGTTTCGTTCTGGTCGAGGATGTATTGATCATATCTTCACCCTCCGCCAAATGTTAGAACACCGCCATACTTTCAAAGGCCAACAATCGTAGTGTTTCTTGACATCAGGGCTGCCTTCGATTCGTTGGACAGGACTGTTCTCTGGGATTGTCTATTGAAGAAGGGTGTGCCTGAGAAGTTTATTAACATCCTAAAAGCCCTATATAAAAACACCTCAGGCAGAGTGAGGGCATACAACCACCTCTCTCCATTGTTCCATTCGAGCAGTGGGGTTAGGCAGGGTTGCCCAATCTCACCATTCCTCTTCAACTTTGCCATCGATGACATTCTGGAAACAGCTCTGATGAATGTAAGTAATGGTGGTGTGGATCTGTTGCCTGGAGAAAGACTTCTCGACCTTGAGTATGCGGACGATATTGTCTTACTGTGCGATAATGCCCAAGGCATGCAATCCGCACTTAATCAGTTGGCAATCAGTGTCCGTAGGTATGGTATGTGCTTTGCACCTTCGAAGTGCAAAGTACTTCTACAAGACTGGCAGGATTCTAATCCTGTACTCACCCTGGATGGTGAGCAGATAGACGTAGTTGAGAAGTTCGTGTATCTGGGTAGCTGCATAAGTGCTGGTGGGGGTGTGAGTGATGAGATCAATGCACGAATAGTGAAAGCCAGAGCGGCTTATGCCAATCTGGGCCACCTTTGGCGCCTTCGTGATGTTAGTCTGGCTGTAAAAGGTCGGATCTACAACGCGTCGGTGAGAGCAGTTTTGCTCTATGCTTGTGAAACCTGGCCTCTCCGAGTTGAGGACGTTAGACGACTCTCTGTGTTCGATCATCGCTGTCTCCGAAGGATTGCTGACATTCAGTGGCAACACCATGTCAGTAATGCAGAGGTTCGGCATCGTGTGTTCGGGCACAGAGATGATAACTCAATTGGTGTCACCATCTTGAAACACCGACTTCGGTGGCTTGGACATGTTCTCCGAATGTCGTCCCAGAGAATTCCACGTCGTGCATTATTTGCCGACTCTGGGACTGGTTGGAAGAAGCGGAGAGGTGGTCAGTGCATGACATGGTGTCGTGGCATGAAAGAAAGCTGCAAAGGACTGGCTTGTGTTGGTCCTTCACGACTCCCTGGTTGGGGTCCGAGAGATGGTGCTACACAGTGGCTAGAGACGTTATCAGATATGGCTCAGAATAGAAGCCAGTGGCGATCCTGCTGTAACCTTCTTTTACTTTCTTTCTAAAAAGTGGTTGTGTCTCCTTTACCTGAAAGATTTCTTCTGATTGTACCTTTTCGTTCCGTCGTTACTACCACACTACCTTACTCCAATCTCTTCGTCATTGTTCTCTTTTTCTTTTGCGTTCCCTAGTTTTTTTTTCTTTCTATTTCTCTTCGAATTTTCATTGTTTTGTGTGGCGCATATATATTGGCGCTCTCTTGTACCAATATTTATGTGTTCAAATAAAATAAATAATAAAAACCTACTATTTTCTAATTACCAAGGTGGAAACCCAACAAGTTCCCTAAATCTTAGCGAAATTGAAACAGTCCTATCTAACTCAAACAGATAGGAATCATCAGAACTTGGTATCTTAACTACGGGTCTTTAAAGATAATGGTCTAATTCTGGAAATGATTCTGACGGAGATACTAGCTAGAAATCCTCATAGGATAACAACAGGACATACTGTACTATTATAACGTCTGATATACTAGATTCGATAATCATTCAACGCTTATCTGGAGCCAGGCTAGTGGTTTACTAGACAGAGTTAATCTACTGACCTGGGTCAGTCAGCTACAACGTAGGACCAGGCACACACATGCATCGGTCCAAGTTGCCATACCTCATTAGCACAGCACGATAAACAATAAATTCATAGCAGTTACTTCAGTGGTGGTAATATATAAAGAAATATTGTATATAAGGATATAATACAGGAAGAAAGAATTAGTCCGCAGAAAGAAAAGTATAAAGTAATTTTGATCTCACAGGTTGAGGGAAGACAAAGATTGTATACACCCACACCAATGTGATCGATTCTGAGCCATGTGACCTGGGTCATTTAGCACAGCTTCAATGTTATTTAGAGAATCAAATGCCAGTTGTTCAATAAATTAGTACGAATAGTCAAGTTATATGCCAATAGAAGTCAAATGACCCTTTGGAAAATGCCTTGCATCTTGTGGCAACAGCGAAGTCTGACAGTCAATATTTAGGTAGAGCAGGCATTATAACCCGATGTGAGTTATTAGCCTGTATTAAAATCAAATGAGTTAAGAGATGTTTAAGTCTATGATGGATCTCAAAGGAACGAAGTGCTGGGTGAGGATCAGTTATTTTGTAACGACTACCTAGACAGAGTCCAAAATTCTGCAAAGCAGTGACTTGACGTTATTAAAGTTAGCTCAAAATAAAAACTCAACAATCTTGTTGTTTTGTATGCCTCAATGAATGTAAATATTGACCAGTCGAAATCTGTTACGCAGTATATTAGTCCCCTTACTTAAGGTACATTTATCTCGCATAGATCATATGTAGTGAGTCAACAAGAACCAGGAGAATATTGTATCCGTAGCGAAATTTTGCCAAGTACAAACACGCCGAGATCGATCAGACTTCTAAGATAAGTTAGGTAGGCAACACACTTCATACCTCCGCGACACAAGTATTTCATCAGCTTCGACACAACAACTACGTCATTTGAGTACCACAAACTGATAAGGAAAGCTCCTGGTAGATCAGGTACTGGAATATCAGACGAAGAAAGTGCCATTGCTAAAGTTTTATCTGCAACAAAATTGAATCGGAGAAAATTTGCACACCTAACGAACATTTGATGTAGCTATTTTAGAAAGTAGGTCACCGTGGACCTTAAGCAGATTTCACGAACAACTGAGGTCACACTTAGGTGGTTCTGGGTACGAGGCTGACCCAGATATTTCTTGGAAACAGCAGCGACATCTATTAATAATTTGAATCAAAGAGTCACGAAAAACCAATGGATTTCTGCGACATCTACTGCACTGATACTCGTATAAACTTATCCCATCAGCTACGAACACGATAATGAACAAAAATAGATTAGATCTATGTTAATCAAAAGTTTAAGGAACGACAGTCAGCAGTGGTAGACAACGAAAGTCAGAGAGATGGGAAAGGCAGCGGCTCTAGGTAACACAAGACAGCTTTACAGATTAACAAAAGAAACTGGGATTAGGGAGTCAGGTGTGAGACAATCTCAGAAAAAGATGACACTTATCTGTTCTCTGTCTAGACATCCAGAGCGATGGGTGGAACACTGACTTAAATAAACACTGAAAATGATTAAAGATCAAAACGCTATAACTAATCTGAAACGGAGAAGGACAGCTGGTACAGGTTGACGGTCAGGTTTTAGAGATTAGGTTGAATAACATAGCATCTATAATACTAGCTTCAATATTTATCGGGTGCCTAACAAAGACTTGTGAACTGCAAACACGAGGGAATCAGGCTAACTTCAGACCTTTATGTGGCTGCATCGGCCACAAGTTCACCATTCGTCAGGTTCTAGAACACAGGCATGCTTATCGGCGTCCGGCAATGGTGGTCTTTCTTGACCTAAAAGCAGAATTCGACTCTGTAGACCGAGAGGTTCTATGGCAGTGTCTGTCATCGAAAGGCGTACCTCAGAAGTACATAAACCTTGTGAAGGCTCTTTACTCGAACACTGCTAGTCGAGTCAGAGCTTATGACGAACTGTCATCTGATTTTGCAACCTCAAGTGGTGTCCGACAAGGCTGTCCACTTTCTCCACTTTTGTTTAACTTCATTATAAACTTACTGATGGAAATAACGCTCTCGTCGACTGAATTCTCAGGCATTGATCTCCTACCAGGAGGTCCACTTATCGACTTAGAATATGCAGATGATATGATCCTGTTTGGTGAAGACTCTAAAATGCAGTCTTTTGATAGCACTGAGCAACAATGCCAGAATGTTAGAGATGCCCTTCCCCCCTTTCTAAATGTAAATTGTTGCTTCAGAACTGACCTGCGTCAACACCTGAACTTCACGGCTGCGGAACGTGGCCATTAAGAGTAGGAGATACTCATAAGTTACTAGTATTTGATCACAGACGTCCTAGAAATATTGCCAGCATCTGCTGGGATCACTGGATAAGTAATAGTGAGGTTAGATGGAAGGTACTAGGGAATGATGGTAATTTAGTTGGTGAGGTTGTGAATCTACATCGACTGAGATGGTTGGGTGACGTATTGCACATGTCCAACTACCGACTACCACGAAGCGCAATGCTGACTAGTGTTGAAGGGAGATTGGAGAAAGTTATGGGGAGCCAAACGAAAAAGTGGCATCAGTCATTGAAGTCGCTAACTTCTCGTCTTAGCCATGTTGGTAGATGCATGACTGTCGTAACCAATGGTTGGAGACTCTGGGTGATATGGCTCAGAATCTATCACAATGGCGTCGATGCATACACTCCTTGTCTTTCCTTAAACCATAAGATTAAAATCGCTTTATATCCTTCGTTCTATGAACTGTTTCTTTCTTTCTGTACTATGTCATTATACACAATCTTTCTTTTATATATTACTACAATTGAAGTGACTACTTCTATGAACTTGATGCTTATTTTGTTGTGCTAATGAGGTGTGGCAACTTGGGCCGATGCATGTATGTGTCTGGTCCTGCGTTGTAGATGACTGATGGGCTGTTACAACAACAGACTCTTATAAGTGTGACTGATAGAATGGAAATCTGAGCCGTAGCTAAATTGATTTTCCTATCAAATTTGAATACTTTTGATGTTAGCTAACTATCTGAAGAACCACATGTTGGCAGGTAGAAAACAAACAGGAAATATTATAAATGTAGGATGTTTGTTTACTGTATTTTTTAAATCTCCACTCAGTTTACATTAATGATGACTTTATTAGAACCAAATAATAAAATGTATAAAGTATTCATTATTATTATTTGGTCACAGATATTGGTATAAGGAGGCACCAAATAGATATGCACGACACAAATCTCATTTGATTTGTGTGAGGACTGTGATACTGCTCGGGTGCCCAAACCGAAGCAGGTGGTTTTCTTAGGGGGCATCACCCGGAGCCTCCGACCTAAAGGTCCGATCCACAAGGCTGTGGAGCGTTGTAAGGAGATGCAGTCCCATAGAAACCGGTGACAAACAATAGGTTCATATGTCATTTGTTCCCTGAGGACACTGGAGCCCATGTGCACCATTGATTTGGAATCAGGGTTTTCCAACTCCCCTAGGTGGACCCCTCATGTCCACGAACCGGGTTAAAGCGCCAAACATTCACTTTTCGTCCCCTCAATTTCGTAAACAACACCCTCACCACGAGAAGGCAGTGAGTAGGACTTTGCTGGCAGAGGCTATATACGCATGGCCATGTGAGAGCATGTCGAGTGAGCGGACCCCCCCCCCACTCTCGGCCGTACCAGGGCATTTGGGGGCTCGTTCGGTGAGGAATTGTACGATTTTGTGACTGCCTTTCAGATAACCACCATGTGATGACTGATGTTACCATCTGAGTATCTTTTTTTAGGGTCTTGACAGTGACCTAGAAGTCGAACACCAACTATTCAAATTAGTTGGTTGGATAAGAATCGTCCCTTGGTCACAAAGGAATCAGTTTAACTAAAATAATGCCTAAAATACTAGCCTCAACAATCATTTGATGCTTGACATGGGCTCATAGAGAGCGAACTAGAGGAAACTGAGCTGATTTTAGGATTGAGTACGGAATAATCAGACAAATACTTATCAGATTATAGACCATAAGTGCAACTATTTCTTGACCTAAAGGCAGCGTCCGACAGTCCATTAGCAGGTTTAATGGTAGTGTACGCTATTAGAGACGTACTAAATTACATCAACTCGATACGGGCTTCATACTAGAACACTACTAGTTAAGTCAGAGCTTATGACAAACTGCTATGAGGATTTTTAGCTTCAAGTAGTGTTAGAGTTATTTACTTTATCCGTTTTGTTATACACATTCTTTAGGAGTTAGTGCTCTCATCGTTCAATTTTTCAGGAATCGATCTACCAGATCTGTTTGTTGACTTAGAGTACGAAGATGGTACAGTATTGTTTGATGGAGACAAAAAAAAAGCATCAATGCAAGCATTTTCGGAATGTGGTTTTCTCCCTTTAAATGTAAAATGATACTTCAGAGCTGCTTTCCGAACTAATGGTTGGGAGTAAAACTGAGTCCATTGGTCGACTGACTTATAATAGGCCTAGTGAGTCGGCACCTGATGAAATCTTAGCAGTGTTCAAAAGCTCGACTAGCTCTTTCCGTCTTGTGGCACAGGATAGATATCTGTCGGTAAACCAAATGCATTTTAATACATTACAGAATGTCTTGGTAAAACCTGAGGACCATACAGTAATACTTCATTTGCACAATACCTATCAAAGGTCTTCGACTTTGTTGTTCCCTAATTTCCATATCAATCGCTCTATCCTTGTTCTTTTCACTTCGATTTTCCCAATCTCCTGCCATCAGGCATTCCACTTTGATTGGTGGTACATACTACATACATCTGTCGACCTCAGTAGCACACCACACGTATGCCTAACCACTACCAACCTAGACGGGCGATGTTGTCTTGTATAGTACGTTGAAAGGTAGGGCGGTCAAACCAAAATATGCCAGCAGTTTGTGAAATTACTGACTGACTGAGCCACGTAGGGAAGTACAGCTTATCTGGTTGAGGTCTGCATGATTATTTTATCAGTAGTTGATGTTAGGTAGCAACTCAGAATCAGTTGGAATGGAGCATGTCCATTCACCACTTTCTCTTAGACCTTAAGTTCCGAAACCTTTAGCACATTCCTTCGTTTTTAAACTTGATCTTTCTACTAATGCGACTACTGTTAGTTATATTATTACTACTACTACCACTATGGAATTTGACTTCATCTCGCTGTGCTAATATGGTGTAGCTTTCTAAACAGGTGCACTTACATATCAGGTACTGCGTTGGTCATAAATGACTGACAGTAACTCACATCCACATGATAACACTAAGAGAAAATACATAACTATGAAAAAAGAACTGAAATTTCCATAATTCTACTCAAATTAAATAATAAGGGGTTAAGACTAGTCCTAGTTCAGCTCTTAACAAGTAAAAAATACACCATTGACGGTAAATGTTTTCGTTACGTGATCTTTGAGCCTGTTGGAAAAGCGGTCAGATCAAAATTAATCCCCACTTAAAGTCATAACACCGACTTAACTGGGTTGTGAAGTCAGTAGGAAGTTCACGATGAATAATCTAGATATTTGTTGATATTTTTCATAAGCGGAATGAGATTACGGAAGGATTGCCATTAAAGCAGTACACTGACCATAATCAGTGTAGACGGGTAGATTCAAAAACTGCATAGGTTAATACAACGAAGCCGGCATTCTTGTAGAAATGGTGTCACAACAAGCAAGTGATATTCACGATACGGCGGTGGTCGTAGGTCACACTTTTGAGGACTAGGAGTAATCATATTTGCAATCTTATGGTAGGAACCCATCTGCTCTGCACGACTCGAATGTGGGCAATTAGCCCGCCTAGTGACTATCGGTTAGGCAGTGCTTTGCAAGCTAAGCGACTTATGTATTCACAATTTTCCCGGCCATCATGGACTATGTTAGAATGGTCAGCTAAAACTAATATTTTACTTACTGTTCACTAGCGGTGTTAATCAAACTTCAAGCAATCTTCATATGAGATATGAAAACGCCATCAGTGTTTATACTACCACAACGAGTAAAACTATATTAATTGTAAGATGCCCTGTTATCAGGACATTCGTCATATTATTTGAATGCATATAAGATGCGTGAATTAGTCTGTAAGAATTCCTATTGTAATGTTAATTGCTGAGATATACCGACAGATAACACCAAACTTAGTTCGGGATCTCAAATATTAGGGGATTATTGAGCAAGCACTAACTTATTATATTTGACAGGAGAAACGACACATTAGAAGGGCATTGAGTCGTGAAGTCATCGGAAATTTCACTACCAAGCCTCCACGACAACATAACAAGCCAGTCTACACAGCGACCAACAAAACTAGCCGACAATGAGCAGCAAAAG